TATGGTCCTAATGCCATTATACTTCTGTAAGGTATTTAAGGCTGTAAGGCTATTTTCTTTGGCAAGGCAAGGTAAGAAAATTTATCACTCCGCGGGTGTGAAGCAATTTCGACCGTCTCACTAAGTCTGATTCTTTTAAGTGGGTCAAAATTTTTGTAATGTATGAACTCAGGTCACAAAGATTCTTAGTCATAAAAAGTGTTAGTCATTATTAGAATAAAATTGTTTCATTTTATATTGATCGAAAGGAAATGCCAGATTGTTTGTACAAATCTATGTCCCTATTACATTAAAAGGGGGATGCCCGGCGTAGCCGGGCTTTACATAAGAAGGAGGAGAGCCCGGCGTTAGCTGGGCGATCCGACTGGTAAATAAAATAAAGGAGAAAGGAAAGAAGTGAAGAAAGTAAGAAAAAGTGAAGAAAATTAGGAGAAGGAATTCATTATGAGTAGTGACGAGTGTAAATCAGAATCAAATACATAATACATGGCGCATCTCCTGCCAATTGATTATGCGCGACAAAAAATCTTTTTATTATTATTTTGTATTTATTCCTGTTGCTCAGGTTTGGCCTATATACTCACAGTACTCAATCTTTGGCCGCAGTTCACTTCACTAAATTGGTTCCGATCGATAACAAAGTAAGAACGTTACTAGCCTTGTTTCCCTGTAGATCCTAATCTAACATGGATCCGCTCAGGAAATGTGCCGCTGATCATGAAGCGCTTACGGAGGAGATGAAGACTTCGAAAGATTCACGTGGTGTTCATCTGAAGGCGACCCGGCTACAGGCATACGAGAGGGTTAGTGCTTTCTGCGAATTCTATTTTTTCCAATTTTGATTTTACACTTTCCCCTTCCTTCCATTTTCTTCCAAAAATTCAATCTATCGTTTTTCAGGAGTTCAAGCTGCTATCGTTTACATTCCAATCAGCACGGGTGTACTTCTCTGTTGATGATCATGACGATTAGAACCCACCGATATGCTTACCATTTAATTTTTTTTTTGAGCATTTTGTGTTTAATACATATAATCTTCAGTCATAAGTGCTTCTAGTTCATTTATGGGTAAGAAGAGTTGTGGCAGCTGAACAAACTCACTTTTTTCTATGTTACGATTCGAATAAGTTTGAGCCATGTTTGTTTGTAAGTTTTAGATTTTAGCAAATTTTATCCGTCAAAAATATTGCTCGATTTTTAAAATAAATTCAATTGTTAATGCGTTGTATAAAGATTGTTCAAGTGGAGAGTGGTGTCTGTACCAGTTCCATGATTAGGGGATTAAACCCTAGATTCCTACCCAATTGAGCTCTACGCGGTGATGGGGACTCCCGGCAGAATACCTTTCTACCCCCCCCCCNCAATCTGTCGTTTTTCAGGAGTTCAAGCTGCTATCGTTTACATTCCAATCAGCACGGGTGTACTTCTCAGTTGATGATCATGACGATTAGACCCACCGATATCACTTGCCATTTCAATTTTTTTCGAATATTTTATATAAATCATATAACCTTCAGTCATAAGTGCTTCTAGTTCATTTATGGGTAAGAAGAGTTGTGGCAGCTGAACAAACTCACTTTTTTCTA